GTGTTTTCTTGCAATACATTGGCATTCTTTCATAAAACTATTGCGTTGCCCTGAGAAACTTTGCGTTCACTAGAGAAAGCTACAGTGGCCCAGTAGTGCACAACACAACGAAATCAACACAACACATAGGACTAATTTCGTTGTGTTGTGCTAATTTCATTGTGCTGTGGCTGTTTCTGTTGTGTTGTGATAATTTTGTTGTGTTGTAGCTTGTTGAAATGATCTCTCGCAGTCGGAGTGGTGATGCATGACGCTGGAAAGATTCATGTTAATAGAGCGCTGGTCGCTGCTTTGACACGTGAGCGAAGGAAAGACATGGAGGACAGCTGATACTGGGTCAGCCACTCATATCCAATCCTCTTGCTAAAATTGTTACCTCTAGAGGGGAGATTACAGATGTAAGAGCCAATGATAGGGTTTGGGGTTTGGATAGCACTCCATTGGATGCCAGATGATGATCTAGTTAAACCCCTTCCAGGTGAAAAGAGAGTAGAAGGGAGTTTTTATTTACACTGTGCTCCCATTTTGATGTTTTAATTATGTTTATTCACCTCTGTGGCACTTAGGGTTCCTAGAGGTCTGTTTTCCTGGAACATGTCAGCAGTGATTGATGGCGGTTGGTCTGGTTATTTTCTTAATGAGATGTCACACTGCTGATTTAATGGCCGTTTGAGTTGGGAAATGGACATTTGCCTGTTAGAATATTTTGGGTTCAGTAAAAGCTCAGTCAATAGAATTAAGTGGTTGATCACAAAAAAAATTCATTTCCACTTGTCCCTCCTGCAAAAAATCTCTTATAATGAGGCGCTTTCAGTGGAAGTGCAATTTTAATTTGCTGTTACAACAGTAGATGGGAGGAAAAATTATATTTCAGTGCTTTTAGGTTTGCATTATATTTGTATAGTATTGAAATTGAGCATTTCCCTTGTGTTGTGTTCTCCCAAGAAACTTTGTACTCTCAGAAAAGCATTGTATTCCCCAGGAAACTTGGTGTTTTCTTGCAATACATTGGCATTCTTTCATAAAACTATTGCGTTGCCCTGAGAAACTTTGCGTTCACTAGAGAAAGCTACAGTGGCCCAGTAGTGCACAACACAACGAAATCAACACAACACATAGGACTAATTTCGTTGTGTTGTGCTAATTTCATTGTGCTGTGGCTTGTTTCTGTTGTGTTGTGATAATTTTGTTGTGTTGTAGCTTGTTTCTGTTGTTTTGCAACTTGTTTCCTTTGTGTTGTGGCTTGTTTCCGTTTTGTTGTGCTAATTTTGTTGTGTTGTGGCTATTTTCCGTTGTGTTGTGCTAATTTTGTTGTATTGCGACTTGTTTCTGTTTTGTTGTGCTAATTTTGTTGTGTTGCGACTTGTTTCCTTTGTGTTGTGGCTTGTTTCCGTTGCGTTGTGCTAATTTTGTTGTGTTACGACTTGTTTCCTTTGTGTTGTGGCTTGTTTCCGTTGTGTTGTGCTAATTTCATTGTGCTGTGGCTGTTTCTGTTGTGTTGTGATAATTTTGTTGTGTTGTAGCTTGTTTCTGTTGTTTTGCAACTTGTTTCCTTTGTGTTGTGGCTTGTTTCCGTTTTGTTGTGCTAATTTTGTTGTGTTGTGGCTATTTTCCATTGTGTTGTGCTAATTTTGTTGTATTGCGACTTGTTTCTGTTTTGTTGTGCTAATTTTGTTGTGTTGCGACTTGTTTCCTTTGTGTTGTGGCTTGTTTCCGTTGTGTTGTGCTAATTTCATTGTGCTGTGGCTGTTTCTGTTGTGTTGTGATAATTTTGTTGTGTTGTAGCTTGTTTCTGTTGTTTTGCGACTTGTTTCCTTTGTGTTGTGGCTTGTTTCCGTTGCGTTGTGCTAATTTTGTTGTTTTGCGACTTGTTTCCTTTGTGTTGTGGCTTGTTTCCATTGCGTTGTGCTAATTTTGTTGTGTTGCGACTTGTTTCCTTTGTTGTGGCTTGTTTCCGTTGCGTTGTGCTAATTTTGTTGTGTTGCGACTTGTTTCCTTTGTGTTGTGGTTTGTTTCCGTTTTGTTGTGCTAATTTTGTTGTGTTGCGGCTATTTTCCATTGTGTTGTGCTAATTTTGTTGTGTTGCGACTTGTTTCCTTTGTGTTGTGGCTTGTTTCCATTGTGCTGTGCTTCCAGTATTTCATTGTGTTGTGCAGTGTGCACTACTGGGCCAAAAGCACTTCTCTAACGAGAAACTTCACAAGTTTTGTGAGCGAATACAAGAGAACACAAAATCATTTAAATATAATTTTTTCCTCCCATTGAATTTTTTTTCATCACCATTTTCATCCCTTTAGGTCCATTGTACAGACACAAGATGTAAACAAATATGTTAACATGTTTTTAGTGTGGAAAAAATTGATTGCTAACCTTTTCTCTATAGTTATATCCAATTTATGACTTTGTTGCCAGGACAACACAATGCCTATAACACTAAAATGGCCATGAAACCAGCTTTACAACTCGAATAATACACAAGTTTTAACAGATGAATTAATGTAAGTGCTTTTTCAAAATGATATGCTTTGCATTTCTGCTGTTAAATTATCCATAAAATGGCCCCATTTACTTCCATTCTAAGTGTCTCATCGTGACCTTGTGTTACGAGGGAACATTATGCCGCAAATGCTGCTGATTGAGCATAACTCATATTGAACCCAGAATCTGAAAGTCATCTTTTCCATATGTTCACCGTCCCTGCTGTTCGCCCTTATTCTTTTTCTGTCTCTATCCCTTGTTCTTTCTCTATTCTTTATTTATATGATGACTCATCAAGGCACCAGCTTCACCTGAAGCTTTTTGCTGAAATTATATATCAAATGCATGGTCCCCCAGATCTGTCAGCGGCTCACCAGCAGCTAATATCCTGGCTCCAGATTTAGGTATTGTGTCTACACTGCAAAGTAATTTTGTGTCGAGTCATCAGATGAATGATAAGCGCTAAGGTCTCTATGAAAAGTTTACAATGCAACAATAAAACACCATTATCATGTCGGAGGGAAATAAACTTGGAGCTGATGAGTAATTCCTCAAGGCATCAAAATTCACCGCATGCCGTTTTCATGAACGAGAGGGCATGCCTCTGAGGTAACACGTTCAGATGAAAGAGTCCTTTCCGTTCCTTCAAATGAATGGATGTTTCTGTGTGAGCCTGTAATGGCTCGTGGCTCGCATTGTGACTGGTGTGAGGTTGTAGGACTCTGACTTCATTGATATTCTGATGATTTTCCCGCTGCGTCTGAGTAATATGAAAATGCAGTCAGTGAGTAATCATGTTTTATATCAAGACCAAGGCCTCTATGGCTGTCATGCTCCGGTGGTCAAGGCTTCGTCCTCTCCGGGCTCTGATCCACAGAGGGCTTTTAGCCTTAGTGGAGCAGAATGCAGGAGCAAAACCTCCAAAAGCACACTTTTTAAATTCAGACTTTATCCTCGTCCTCTCTGGTTCAGAGACAGGACAATGTCAGACAAAACAGAAGGAGTTAAGCTATCGTTGAAGGAAAATAAAAAGGTTAACCATTTTATTCCATTTACTCTGAGAATTTGAATCTATTTTCAGCATTTAGAGATATAACAGTACATTTCTTTATTTTTTAAATTTTATTTTCATTTTATACGAAAAACATTTCATAATTCAGGTTGTTTCATTTAAATCCAAACTACTTAACTAAAAACTAAATTTATTATATTATATTATATTATGATAAAACTTTACGATAATCCCATTAGTTCACGTTTGTTAAAGCATTAATAATGAGAAATGCATTTGTTACAGTATTTATTCATCTTTGTTAATATTAGTTAATAAAAATACAACTTTTCTGTGTTAGTTCACGTCAGCTCAGGTACATTACATAATATAAACATAAAAATTTAGATTTAAAAAATGTATTAGTAAATTTCAAAATTGACTGATTAATAAATGTAAAGTATTTTTCATGGTAGTTGATGTTAACTAATGTAATGTTTATAAATGGAACGTTGTTTACATATGATATGATATGATATATGATATGATATGATATAATATAATATAATAATACATATTAACTAATGGGACTTTGTAAAGTGTTTATTATATTATATTGTATTATATTATATTATGGTAACACTTTACAACAATCCAATTAGTTAACACTGGTAAATGCATTAATAATGAGCAATGCATTTGTTACAGTATTTATTAATATTTGTTAATATTAGTTAATAAAAACACAACTTTTGGGAAGTCGTGGCCTAATGGTTAGAGAGTCGGACTCGTATGTTCACTGCTGTGTGTGTGCACTTTGGATGGGTTAAATGCAGAGCACTAATTCCGAGTAAGGGTCACCATACTTGGCCACATGTCACGTCACTTTTCATTGTTAGTTGACGTTAACTAATTTAATGTTAACAAATGGAACCATATTGTAAAGTGTTACCAATATATAATATAATATAATAATATTTATTTGAATATTTTGATAATGGCCTCACTATTTTTTTTTTCTTATCAAAACAGCTTTGAATTTTTTTGCTCATTACACAGGAAAAGTATAGTTTTCTGGATTTTTCCAGATGAAATTCCGGCAAATATTTACTGCCACCCTGTGCGCCGATGCACAAACTGCAGCATTTCTGTTCCTGTTTCTTATCCTGGTTGACCTCGAAATGAAATGAGTTTGTATGTAACTTCCATGTTTTCTGCTCATTTATATTGCAGTACATTACAGTATGTGAAGATAAAATTATTTAAAATTTGCTTTAGCATCTAAATGCTAAACCTATAGATAAATAATATATATTAATTTTCCTTTCTACCTCAGCTCTTCAATACTATCTTAACTAAAACTTGTGAATGTTGGGAATGCTTTTGATGTGTAATAGTGAGGGATGTGTGTTAAGAGTTGTGCTGTCACTGACCCTGATGTTTCTCATGGAGTTATCAGAGAGGAGTGTTGCAGAGCCGCTCTTATCTTTGTGTTTACACGTACTTGCTCACTCTCAGGCCTGTCTCTTGCAGGGCGTGTGAAATGAAAAATTTCAGATAGACCACCAGTGAGAAAAGCACCATTAACACACTTGAATCCATATACAGGCTGCTGCATATAGTGGGCTTTGAAATTCAACACAAGGTAAGTCCATTTCATTGCAATACGGTGTCCGGCAGGTGGCACAGACAACAACGAGATGGCTCAAATGTTACTTTTAAAGTTGGTGGTTATAGGAGACATCACGGTGTGATTGTTTACTCTCTAGTATCGACTTTGAAATGAAGGTGGCTGGTGAGATCGTTTTGGAGAAAGATGGATACAAACTACTGTGTGCTTTTGTGTATTTGCTTTGCAAATGGTGTTGACTATGATTGCTTGTGCTTGTTTGTCACAAGACCAGTTGACTATGGAGACGTTTCTGTCACTGAATCCCCTAATAGGATTTTTGTTGCATTATATGAACACTGAAGTCTTTACGAATCCAATAACAGCTGCTACTGTGCTTTCCGTTTAACATGACATTGAAATATGTTGGTATTTGATTGTAGATGAACATAAATATTGTGTTGTGTTTCCAGTATGGGTGAAGAAAAGCTGGTGGCTTGCGTGTTGGTCACTGTGTTAAGTCTGACACTAATGAGGTCAGTTTATGGTCAGCACATGCCAGAAGAACCGTGCTCGGTCCAGATCCTCGTCCCTGGACTCAAAGGTACTGCAAATAAACTACACCACATTATGCCATACACACTAATGACACTCACTTTAATGTTATGCTCACCAAGGCTGCGTTTATTTGATTAAAAATACAGTAAAAACTATCATATTATGAAATGTTATTACAGTTTCAAATCTGTTCATCATTACTCCAGTCTTCAGAGTCATGTGATCCTTCAGAAATCATTCTAATGGTTTGCTGCTAAAGAAACATTTCTTTTTATTGTCAGTGCTGAAAATAATTGTGCTGCACAATGTTTGTTTGGAAACCGTGATACAGTGTTGCCAAGTCTTCCGTTTTTCTGCGGCATAGGGCTACTTTAACACTGTTGCCATGGGTTGTTTTTCATGTCCGTGGATTAAAGCAACCCCAATAATGTGATATTTAGCCCCTGCAAATGTGAATTTTTGCGAAAATTCGATTTTTTTCCCCCCACGGGACTCCCTCTAAAAACCTTTGGGCTAGTTTTGAGTAGCAATTGGGCGGGTTTTGTTGTGAAAACCTGGCAACCCTGCCGTGATACCTTTTTTTTCATTAATAGAAAGTTCAATAGAACACCATTTATTTGAAATAGATTTTTTGTAACATTATAAATGTATTTACTGTCACTTTTGGTAAATTTCATGCATCCTTGCTAAACAGAATAAAAAAATTCTTACTGACCACCTTTGAACGGTATACTGTGTGTATATATTGTAATTTGATATTTAAAGCTTTATTTACATTTAAAAATACTATAGAAAATCCTATAAACAGAAAATATGCACAATATACGCATACTGCAGCTATAGTAAATACATGTTATTCCGAATAGCTTTGTCTGTGCAAGTCTATGACATTGTTTGTGTATTCCCATAGGTGAACCAGGAGAAAAAGGAGAGAAAGGAGCACCTGGGAGACCTGGGAGAGTAGGGCCGCCTGGAGAACCAGGTAACACTAAACCGTGTTTTGAGAGCTTAATCGAATTCCATCAGTGCTTTTTAATTACTATCCACTTACATGGTGAAACATGACTCAAGTTCTTTACGAACCTGTAAAGAAGTTTTAGGTGTTAAAAGAATTATGAAACTTTCAAACCAAGTGACCAAACAGGGAGCTGCCAAATGTGTACATTTAAAAGGGCCCCTAAATCTTGTTTTTAGATAGCTGAGTTCATCTGAGCCAGTGTTGACCAATCATTGTGTTTATAAATGCCTCAACATACTGATAAACAAGGAAATTAAACTCCATTCTGGGAATTATTGCATTATTTGGTTTATATCCGTGCTTATTACATATTTAGTTTATATGTTATTTTCCAGGTCCCCCCGGAGACAAAGGCCAAAAAGGTAGCACTGGACGTTATGGGAAGATGGGTCCCGCTGGACTCAAAGGTAAGCTTGAGAAAGAAATTGCAGTTCTGAAAGTAACCAGGCTTGTTTTGTCTCACTGCTTAATAATGCAATAGGCTTCTTTTTTTCTAGGTATAAAAGGGGATATGGGAGATCCAGGACCCAAGGGCCCAAATGGAGAGCCAGGTATAGGCCTTTCCGAAATAGAATTCAGTTCATATCAGTTGATAATTGGTTTGAACTCATTAGGAACCAGTTTAATGCTTGGACTGCTCATGTGAATGGTCTCGTATTTAATTTGTCTCCTCAGGCGTCCCCTGTGAGTGCGCACCCTTACGGAAAATGATTGGTGAAATGGATATTCAAGTGGCGCAATTAACCAATGAGCTGAAGTTCATTAAAAATGGTATGTCCAAAAGAAAGAATGAATCAGTCTACCAATGTTTATGAGATTACAATAATGTGATGTTGCCAAGTTGATTCATACAGTTGTTCATTTTGATATGCAGGGTGATTGCACACAGACAAAAGTATTTACCCATTAGCCAGAAGCTCTTTTGTTTGACTGTCAGAATGCACTTGTGTGAACGCTGGCTGCTGCCGTGTGATTATAGAAATTCAGATCCTCATTTTTCAGCCCTGCCCTCCCCCGCAGCTGTCGCTGGCATCAAAGAGACAGACAGCAAGGTCTATCTGCTGGTGAAGGAGGAAAAACGCTACAGGGACGCGGAGGTGTTTTGTCAGGGGCGAGGTGGACACCTGGCTATGCCCAAAGACGCGGCGGCTAACAGAGCCATCGCTGGCTACGTCACTGAAGCTGGCCTCAGTAGAGTGTATATCGGCATTAATGACCTGGAGCGAGAAGGCCACTTTGTGTATGTTGAGCGCTCACCCATGACCACTTTCAGCAAGTGGAGGGAGGGCGAGCCAAACAACGCTTACGATGACGAGGATTGCGTCGAGATGGTGTCTTCAGGCGAGTGGATCGATGTGGCTTGTCACCTCACTATGTACTTCGTGTGTGAGTTTGACAAGGACACAGTATGAGCTTCACTGCCAATCTATAGGGGGAAAAGTCATTTTAGACATGTTTAAAGTACTCCGGTATTAAAGAAGGCTGAAATTTCAATAAAAAGGTGACGTACTTCTACATTTTGTCGTCTTTGGCAACGATGACGGCAGTGTGACATGCTAGGCGTCATGTAAAACTGTTTAAAACAACATTTAATTATTATTATTATTATTATACACTGCAGTTCAAACATTTAGGGTCAGTAAGATTTTTAATGTTTTAAGCGCTTACCAAAGGTTTGTAGTTAAATTATTTTCAAATGTAATTAATTTCTGTGATGGCCAAGCTGAATTTTTTAGCAGCCATTGCTCCACTCTTCAGTGTCACGTGATCCTTCAGAAATCATTCTTATAAGCTGAATTGCTGCTTAGGAAACACTTCTCCTTATTATCAGTGTATCAATGTTCAAAAGTACAGCATTTTAGGAGAAAAAAAACATTTGTAATATTGTTAATGTGTTTACTATCTGGTTGTTTAAAACCTTATCAATTGAGATACTGTATGAAATATATGTACTTTTTTTATTTTTTTTTATCGCACTGCAGGAATGTATACGTTATTCAGATCAGTCAACATATGTAGACCAATCACAATTTTTCAGGTGTTATTGCAGACTGAGACACCTTTACTGTGAAAAGTGGACAACTAAGTTTACTAAAATACATGTACTTGTAATCGGTTAAATAAATGAACAATAATACTTTCCTATTATCTTGTTATATTTACAATTTCAGATTCCACTGATTTGACCTTTTTCTTATTGCTTTTCTCTTTTACTACATTTCTTCCCATTCAAATTTGAATTACATGGTTTATTATTAATATACTGAATAGGTCAGCATACTCATAGAACTAGCTAACAAGAGCAGATTTACATAATACAGTCTTAGACCGAACTGTAGGGTTGAGGTTAGAAATTGTATTTTTAACGGTCAAACAATTTATTCTCCCCAGTAAAATGACTGAAATGGCTGTCCCAGTTTACCAGTAGTACATAATCCCATTTATTTAATACATTAGTGGCAGAATGGAACAGAGTCAAGGTCACATAAGGATCAATAGATGGTATATATTGTATACAACCCATCATATTAAGTCATTTTATAACCTTAGCATATTTTGAGGTTATAAATGTGGTATGAAATGCTCTTTTGACATCTCATCCCACAGTAGTGGATTTTTTATCAATAGATGACTGTACACTTACATAGAATACAGTACACATGCCCATATTGCTTATATAATAAATAATACCATTATTTGGTTTCTTGAGAATGTACTTTTCTTTAACTGTTCCTATTAATTCTGTGTAATGGTAGTAAATATGGTAAATTATTTCTAAAACATGATAGATACTCGAAGGATTCATTATACTACATGTTTGCTGGTTTATGCTGGTCCTTTTGCTGGTTTATGCGGGTCCTTTTGCTGGTTTATGCTGGTCCTTTTGCTGGTTTATGCGGGTCCTTTTGCTGGTTTATGCTGGTCCTTTTGCTGGTTTATGCGGGTCCTTTTGCTGGTTTATGCTGGTCCTTTGCCAGCACATGACCAGCATATGCTGGTTTTTTCAACAGATGAAGATGATGTTACAATGTATAATGTTCTTGTAAAAAAGTGCAGCATAGCCTATTACTTTTATGCTGCCTTCACATAAATACGAGGTTGAAGGCAGTGTTAGCGAATTCAAATGAAATAATAATAAAAAAAATAATAAAGTAAAAAAAAACAAATTTCGTTAGAAAGACTATTAACCCTTTTTAGATGGAAAAAAAAATCACATTGACACCTTTTGATGAAATTGATATTTTTGAAAAGCTGACCTACAAAACACTGTCTCCGACGACAGGAGTAAGTAATACACTGATTAAAATTTAATCAGTTTGGCGGTTGTCTAAGATAGGCTAATTGGATGTCTGACCGCGGCTGCTAAATCTCCAGTTACCTCAGAGCACAGACTAAATTAGAACAAAACACTTTTTTTTTTTTTAAATCCAAGCTATCAAAATAAAAATAAATCGATACAACCGATTACGTATGCTATCATTTTGTTAGTTCAAAGAGAGTTGAGGCATTGTAGCAGTTTTCTTAGCGTTTCACTCCGTTACTATGGAAACTCGTCCAAACAACATCTGGCTGCCTCCAGCACGCGGAAGAGAACGATTCAAACAACTTTTAACAACTTTCGGTTGTGGTTACTAAAATTGTGTTTCATTGATATATTTAATTTGGGCTTGTCAGCACCTCCCCGTGGATTACCGCAGAGTTGTTTTCGTTCATAATGTCTGGACGGGGGTCTTATGCGCATCGTTAACAATCAACGCCAGTCATCCACTTTTGACAGCTTTCTGAACACGGTCACTCGAGGCATCACAGCTCACTTTGGGGCAGTGCGAAATATTTACACCCCTAACAAGGGTCACAGGGTGGCAAATCTGGAGCAGCTGGTGCATGGAGAGATATATGTGGCAGCCGGAACAGAGAGACTCAGAAAAATGGAGTAAGTTTATTCATCCACATAATGGTAACGGTGCAGTTATTTACAAGAGAGTAGCTACATTGCTGATTTTTAGTAAACCTTATTGATTATGAATTAAATTCATGTAAAATCTTAGCAGCCTAATACAGGGTAGAATAGCCTATAATAGGCGAACGTTAATATGTACAGACAGTACATTTTAATTGCATTTAATTTTTTACATTGATCATTGCAATGCAAAGCCATCAGAATAATATGCTTATGTTATATTATATTGACTTTATTCTTTCTCTCTTCTTTTTTTCGTTCATAATGTCTGGACGGGGGTCTTATGCGCATCGTTAACAATCAACGCCAGTCATCCACTTTTGACAGCTTTCTGAACACGGTCACTCGAGGCATCACAGCTCACTTTGGGGCAGTGCGAAATATTTACACCCCTAACAAGGGTCACAGGGTGGCAAATCTGGAGCAGCTGGTGCATGGAGAGATATATGTGGCAGCCGGAACAGAGAGACTCAGAAAAATGGAGTAAGTTTATTCATCCACATAATGGTAACGGTTATTTACAAGAGAGTAGCTACATTGCTGATTTTTAGTAAACCTTATTGATTATGAATTAAATTCATGTAAAATCTTAGCAGCCTAATACAGGGTAGAATAGCCTATAATAGGCGAACGCTAATATGTACAGACAGTACATTTTAATTGCATTTAATTTTTTACATTGATCATTGCAATGCAAAGCCATCAGAATAATATGCTTATGTTATATTATATTGACTTTATTCTTTCTCTCTTCTTTTGTCTTTGATAGCTATCATCACATAACAACACAGAAACCTCCAAAAAAGAAAAGTGAACCGGTAAGAGTCACAGTAACTACATCATTCTTGATAGAATGATAAAACAACATAAAACCTTTTCTCATTCTATCAAGACATGAACGATTAAAAAATGGGGACAACTTTATTCTATATGTGAAACATACCGTGGATATGTATGAGAATGTTTTGTACGTTATTTACAAGAGAGTAGCTACATTGCTGATTTTTAGTAAACCTTATTGATTATGAATTAAATTCATGTAAAATCTTAGCAGCCTAATACAGGGTAGAATAGCCTATAATAGGCGAACGCTAATATGTACAGACAGTACATTTTAATTGCATTTAATTTTTTACATTGATCATTGCAATGCAAAGCCATCAGAATAATATGCTTATGTTATATTATATTGACTTTATTCTTTCTCTCTTCTTTTGATAGCTATCATCACATAACAACACAGAAACCTCCAAAAAAGAAAAGTGAACTGGTAAGAGTCACAGTAACTACATCATTCTTGATAGAATGATAAAACAACATAAAACCTTTTCTCATTCTATCAAGACATGAACGATTAAAAAATGGGGACAACTTTATTCTATATGTGAAACATACCGTGGATATGTATGAGAATGTTTTGTACATCAGGAAGGTCTAGAGGAAAAAATATCCATGGTAAATCATAACATGTTTTCAGTATGATTATTACTGGTGTTCTTCATCCTACGTTTTTCTGTTATTGACTGATACATCTCTCCGGCAGAATATCAGTGTAAGGTTTACACAGACTGTAGCGGATGACTGATTTTATGCCCCTTGTTGCGGATAAACATGAAGTATTAATTGTATTGATTTCACTATAAAATCTCCATTCGAGTCAGCTGTTTCTCTTCATTTCAAACTATCAGGTAGCCTATGTGTAGGACAGTCTCTGAATACTAGGGGAGTTTTCTGACTACTCATAAAATTATTTTAGGTTATTAATCCGGATTCAATGCAAGTACTGCGCAAATGCTTTATGTTACTTATTAGAGACTCTTACCTCTAATTTCTGTTCATTTTCTAGCGTATACAGTAAAACAATGGCAAATTTCAAAACTTCCCTCCTTCCTTTACTCACAAGAACTTTATTCGCCCCGCCAGTATATTGGCTTAGTTATCACCTACATCCACTGATGTAGACCATTAAATCTTTATGCTGCCTCAGAAGCCAGTCCGAAATCAGCCAGTCCATCACAGCTGTTTAACTGTTTACAATCAGCTGTTGAATAATTACAAAAGATGTTGTTATGCCACAGTTAAACACAAGGGTGCTCAGCCCTGCTCTGGAGTTGTGTCTTCCCTCAGAGTTCAGTTCCACTGCTGCTCACACACCTGTCTGTGATTTTCACGCAAACCCCAGACCTTGATTATCTGCATCAGGTGTTTTTCATTAAAGTTGGAGCTAAACTCTGCAGGAATGTGAACTATTAGTCAGCAGTAGCACAATATAAGCTATTTGATATCTAAAAATATAATAAAAACAATAATACTTTGAAATATTATTGCATTTTAAAATAACTGTTTTGTATTTGAATGCATTTTAAAATGTAAATTTTTTTTGTGATGGCAAAGCCGGATTTTCAGCAGCCGTTACTTTATTCTTCGGTGTCACATGATCTGTTTTGCATAGGATTCAAATCAGCAGTCAAAAGATTCAGGCTTTGTACTATTCCAAGTTTGGACTATTTGAAGTGACTTGTTAAGCTAATAGTTTTTACAACCTTCCTCAGAGACCAACATGCAATGGACCATAATAGAGTAATAATCATAAAAATGCCCACTTAGAGTGACTTTGCTTGAGGTTATGGCAGTATATTTCACTGTCTGTCACCCTTTTAGCTCCTTGTTTCCATCTGAACAACAACCAACATAGCATTAAAGACGGCTGATTGAGGAAAACCAGATGTGTAAGGGCCCTAAATGAGCAGTGGAACAGTTATTGTCAGTGATGCTCAGCGGGGTCCTGTTCATTTGTCTCCACTGCAGATCCAACCTGTAGTTCACAGCAGAATAATTGTCCCAGCTCGATGGAAGAGAATCAGTAATGAGTCGTGCATCATCAAGTGAGCCCTGCTTTTAATGTGTCCCTATTGGAAGTCTTCAATGGCAAAGCCTCAGGCTACGGCAAAGTCTAATTCTTTAAAGCTGTAATACTGTCTAATGGTATAAAATCAGGCCGATGTTCTTTGCTTTAATTATTTATTTCTAATGGCATCTAATTTCCTCATGTTGTTAATTATTAGTGTATATTGGCTTTGTTTCTGATAACAACATATTTGGAAGCATAAATGTGTGGATTGAGGTCCTAAGTGCTAAATTTGATTATATCTTGTAGTGTTTTTACCAATGGAGATATCTTGGTTCCTCCAGCACGGGTGCTGATTCCCAAACACACGCTTGCTAGCTGGGAAAACGTATTGGCCACGGTGACTGAGAGAGTTCACCTTCGCACTGGAGCTGTGCACAGGTACAAGCTACATCTATAAAATGTGCATGTGTAAAAAGTACGTATAGTCAATGATGAGTGATCTCACTCCTTTCAGATTGTGCATGCTGAATGGGAGGCCTGTACGTGAATCGTATGAGCTACAGAACAACCACTATTATGTTGCGGTAGGGACAGAGAGGTTCCGGTCTTTGCCATATCATCTGGCCCCAAGCAAGGGAGTAATCCACAATATCACCGATGTGTGAGAAATATTATAAGACATGATAATTGAAATGACAGTAATTAACAGATGTATAATGCCCTTTTGTTGAACTTTCTTCTAGTAAAATTGCCATCATTAACTCACTTTTTGCTATTCAAAACCTGACTTTCTTTCTTCCATGGAGTACAAAAGGCGAAGGACAGAAAAGCACTATAGAAATAGTCCTAGTTTGAAGTCATATGATTGATTCTATGCAGGTATACAGAAATTTGAACAAGTTACATTACATTACATTGAAAGAAGTAAAAAATACAATAAAACAGTAATACTATCACTTATTTTGAAAATTATTTGAAAATATTTTAAATATAGTGTAATATATTATTAAAATGTCATTTATTCCTGTTATGGGAAAGCTGAATTTTCAGTGGCCATTACTCCAGTCTTTACTGTCACATGATCCTTCAGAAATTATTCTAATAATCTGATTTGCTGCTGAAGAAACATTCTTATTATTGTCAATGTTGAAAACAGTTGTGCTGCTTAATATTTTTGTTGAAACTGTGATGCATTTTTCAGGATTCTTTAATCAATAGTTAAAAAGAACAGCATTTGAAATAGAAATCTTTTTTGTAAAATCATATACACATCTATACATCTTTCCTGTCACTTTTGCTGAATAATAATATTTATTTCATAAAAAAAAAAACTAATACTGACCATTAATTGATTGATTGGTAGTGTATATTAAATTTAAAATAACCAGACAATACATTTAGTAAAATTAATATTTTTGTAAATTATAGAATGAGTAATAAAATGCCAGAACTGTCATAAAAAATATATTTTGGTTTCAAAACATGATACTGTTTTTCACAGAATAAAGAAAGCAGTCAGGTTTGGAACAAGCAGAGTACAAGTACATGATAACGGACCTTTTTTTTTTTTTGGTTAAATTATTTCTTTGTCTTCCTCTTTTTCTTAGGGTGAACAATGGCATTCATCCAGTTCTAAAAAAAGAAAAACAAGACAGAACTTTGGTAAGGATAATTAAATATTTTCTTTAAACTATTTAACAGATAAAAAATGTGTATATTATAGATGGCATCGATGTGATTACATTACATTATATATTATTATAGAATTTTTTTATTGGTCTTATGAACTATTCTAATTTGTTGAGATAGTTAATTGGTGGGTTTTTGTTAAATGTGAGCCAAAATCATCACAATTAATAGAACCAAAGACTTAAACTACTTCAGTCTGTGTGCATTGAATTTATTTAATACACGAGTTTCACAATTGGCTTGAATTACTGAAATAAATGAACTTTTCCACGACATTCTAATTTATTGAGATGCACCTGTAGCTATGAGAAGTGTTAAACATGGACTTGCGTGCAGTTGCCGTACTGTATTAAAGATTTAATCAGGATAAAACCGTATATATTAAAAGCTAACATAAGTAGTAGCATTTACAAACAACAGCGTATCTAAAAGTATGAAACAACAACAAACAAAAAACATAGGCCTACCATTAAAAGCCGTGTTTGCACAGGTTCTGCAGGATCCTCTTCAATAATATCCTCTGCTTCTCAATCGGGCTCAAACTGATAAGCGATATTAACGACGCCGTTGTTTACAATACAACCGGAGCACATGCCGCTGAGGTGAGGGGCAGGACGTTTAGACGCGCACTAGAGACGGTTTAGCCAATCACAACACACTGGGCTAGCTAACCAATCAGAGCCCATCGCCTATTTCTGAGGGAGGGGCTTCATAAATGAAGGAAATGATCAGCCCGTTCATGGGAGAAGGGACCAGCGGTGTGGAATAAAGGTAAATTGTGTGAAAAATAATGCTTTTATTTTTTAAAAAACAAAGCATTAACACATGTTAGACTGCACCCCATAAACACAATCAAGCCTAGAAAAACCCCCCACCCCTTTAAGTAAATATTTAATGAAAATGCTGGTATTGATTTTGCATAGTCAAAGACTAATAGGCTAATTCTTCAGAAGGCAGGGATGAACACAAGCAAATGAGCCTGTTTTGACAGTGTGGAATGCCATATTAGTCTTATTTGCTCTGTTCTTGAACTGTAATATGGAGATTAAACATAGCGCAGAGCTAATGTCCTGAACTAGTTTACAAGACACCGATCTTGATCAGCACCCATCCCTTTCCCCTCAGCCCGAAACCAGTTAGTGAGAAAATATAAATTGGCTACTGTTCATTAGTGTTGAAGATCAGATAGTTGAGAAAAATGTTACCGTCACATGATCTCAATGTCTCCAATCAGGCTGATATGTGGCAGTGCAAGTTGGGAGCGGGTACATTCACCTCATCAATCACTGTCTGTAGGAGGTATTGAGTTCTTCTCACCTCTCCTTTTTCAAACTGTCCCAACGCTCAGAGTTTGTGTTACTTGATCAAGTGAGAGCCGAACTCCCTCACCGGGGGAAGGCGCTGAAACCCTCCCCTGTACCCACAGAATGAGGATAAATTGTTTTGTGATAGTGCTTGATACTTTGGGATGGTCCAGACTACAATAAGAGCTAGACCTGGCAAATAAGTGATGGAGAAAAAATACACACTTAGTGGACTGGGACCCGGAGCTCTCCAAAGTAAAGCTTGAGACATCTGGTTATTGTGAATAAGAAAAATGACGGCAAACCATTTGCCTGTTGATGTTAGAAGGGAAAGCTCCTGTGGTTGTTCCATGTCTGTTGTAATTGATTTCTCATGCTTCATCAGCTTCATTGAGTGGAGGAAATAATTTGAAGAAAGTGGCCAATTATCTTTGATACAATGAAGATGGAATAGCAATCAAAGTCTCATCAAAGTGTCATTAAATTCCAAGGTGCAGTTCCATGATCTGTTTACATTTACCTGTAATCTGTATTTGTTGAGAGGAGAACAAACACTTTTAAACAATCACGTATTTCCTTTCCCTGCTGAGAATCTGTAATAGTAATTCAAAGCTTTACAATACCAGACAAATGTTTTGACAAATTTTGTTAAATTTGTTTCTCGCAAGCTTGCTTGAGATTCTTGATTTAGATCTGAAGGCTTATGTTTATGTTTTTGAAATTAATTTGATTTTATATGATAAATTTGAACTTCTTTACTAACCAGTATTTAATAAACATTTATACACATTACATATACACACCAAATGTCCCCACAAGGATAGTAAAACCTGAAATATTTGAAATTGTGCACGAGGGAAAAAAAATTAAAATGAGTAAATGATGTTTATCTGAAAGTGTAACAATGCAAACAGGTTTTCTGTAAGGGGTAGGTTTAGAGTTAGGGGATAAAAAATATTGTTTGGTCAGTATAAAAGGAATAGAAGTCTTTGGAAAGTCCCCACAATTCACAGAAACAAACTTGTGTGTGTATAAACACATGTATGTGTATAAAATGTAATTAATACATTTATTTATGAATACATTTAACATAGGTACATACAGTACATTTACTATTACTATTTATTATATTAAGTATTATTAATATTGAAAATATTAAATAAATTACAGATAGTCTTAGTTATTTTATATAATTATATTATAATGATAATTTTTTTTCTTTTTAACATTCTATTCACTGAAGAGTTCGGGGAAAAGGTGTATTGCGGCTTGAACAAACGTTTTCAGTTTTAATAATCACAAGAACTTACTTAGAATTTAGCACCAAATCAGAATGAATGATTTCCGAAAGGAACATGTGACACTGAAGACTGGAGTTAGAAACGGTTAGTTTTAACTTGTAATCAATCAAATAAATCCAGCCTTGGTCAACATTGAAGACTTCTTTTAAAAACATCTAAATCTTTCAAAAACATTAAAATGTAATAAAAAACATGTAAAAAAAAAACACCATTCAAAAACCAAAGCTTTGAATGGTGGTGTATATAATTATTTATATAATTATTAAATGAATAATTTACTTAATTTTATTAATTTGTAATAAAAATTAATTTAAAACAAAAATGTATTTGTAAAAAAAAAAAAAAATCCACAATTACATAGCATGTTATGTATGCTTTCTTTTAATCCATAGCAGGATATTTCCATCTCATAGCATTATTTCTTCAGATCTGGTATTTACCACATGAGGGAGACAAAGACTCAGCTATGGCCTCCACCAACCTGTTCGCTTACCTTATCCAATGATGTCATTCCAATGTAAACATTTTGATAATGAAATTGAATTACAGATTTTTTCTAATCTTCCCCTAGAAATCAATACAGTATACTTAAACCTATAGTTTTTTATTGTCATGTAAACTGCTTGGAGGGGCCTGTGTATTATTAGAAATCTCTCTCTCTCTTTTTGTTTTTTTTTGCACTGTATTTTTTTTTTTTCATGTGACAGAGCTGGCACTGCACCGGCAGATGAAAGCAGTAGCACAGCATTTGGTGTTTATTCTCCTACGGGTCTAACAGATGTTAAGCAAGGTGTCAGCAAAGTTGACACAGGTGGAAAAGTGCAGCAGCGACAGAGATGATCACACCCTCTTGTACTAGAGGCCACACATCCATGACTGTGACATGCAGAGGCAGTAAAGCTGTTCAGACCCTCTCCGTGGCACTGTAGGGTGTAACTGTCCCCTCATATCTCCCATGACTTGCTCATGTCAGACCTGCTGCCGTCCCCGCGGTGGCTTCCTGTTTTGGAGAAGCATTGGTTTCTCTAGGGGATTGGTAGAGACACCCATCCAGCTGCTCTCTGTCAGGCCTGTCCTGCGTAGGCAGGGGGAGTGGTTCGCTAATACAGCGGGGGGTCTTCCACGCCTGGCTTCAGAATCATTATCACATTGCTCTGGGTTGAAGCTACCATCCCCCAGCTTTCAGTGTTCTTCCATGCTTGAGTTACTGTAAAGGACACTACAACCTGTTCTTAGGCCCAGTGTAGATCTGGTATTAAGATAGCTGATTCCATCAGAAGGGGTCAGATAAGACACGTTGATTTTTATAGCCACTAACTTGCAAAATGCTTTGTACTCCGTTTACACCTGTATTTGGTGTTGTCCTAAAATGATCCACCAAAACTGATGTTAATAACAGGAGTAATAATGGACCTTAAATTAGTGATTAGTGGAAAATGTCCTAATTGGCTCCTCAAATGTACAATAGTCTTTTTTTAAATTTATTTTTTAAATACTTTTTACAGAAGTTCAATTTTACAAACTGAACTCAGACTTTCCACCTCCAAATGCCTTGGTTAAATGAGAACTTGTCTCACTTAGCCAGACTTAACTGTCAACATAAAGTCTGGTCCAAATTGTAGCTTGCAATCGGTAATAGTCGAACATTGCACATGGATGACCTCTCAAGTTCTATTTACGACTGGGAAACTCAGATAATTTTGGACAAGCTCAAACCATTTTAGACCCTGTTTACACCTGTATTTATAGTCGTCCACTTGTGATCAACTTGATGAAACACATCTTAATACCAAAAATGTAAACGGTATTTGATACCGGAGTTTCTGATTTCAACAGGCTGTAAATTTTAGACATGGTGGAAGAGAGAATTATTGCTGTATCGTAGTACACAGGCAGGGTCAAAACAATGGCAAACAGGTATATGGCAGGCAAAACACAAGAATATTCCTAGGGCTAGCGTAGGTCAACGATCGGCAGACAGAATCACAGGGGCGAGACTAGAGGGATAAATCCAGGAAAACAGGCAAAGATCATAAACTGAGAAAACAAACAAGGCAAGGCAAAACAAGGAAACACAGGCAGGATAACAGGAACTAGGAATAATAACCGGCTAAGCAATACTTGGCAGAGAATGGTTGTTTGAGTGAGTGTTATATAGTGAGTGAGTGCACACATCCATGACTGTGACATGCAGAGGCAGTAAAGCTGTTCAGACCCTCTCCGTGGCACTGTAGGGTGTAACTGTCCCCTCATATCTCCCATGACTTGCTCATGTCAGACCTGCTGCCGTCCCCGCGGTGGCTTCCTGTTTTGGAGAAGCATTGGTTTCTCTAGGGGATTGGTAGAGACACCCATCCAGCTGCTCTCT